ATCTACACAATTGAGAATTAATTTTGAATTGTATTAAATTATGAATTTGACGTCAACTAAAGAGGGTATTATTATTTTATGCATCACACAAGTTGCATCGAGAAAGTTGCATCGAGGTGGGTATTTGAATACCATAATTTCAAAATTTCAACAAAATCGTAGAGTTGCACTTGACACCATCCCAGTATAACTGATTGTACGATACATACGTAAACGTAACCTGCCGTTGCCGAATTTCATTAAGTAATCAGGGTGTTGCTTAATTAAATTACATTAACAATGCAAAATCTGACTGGGTAACAAGGGAATCTTAAGTGCTGTGTGACCTGGATTTCACACAAATTAATCTCGCTTGACATAGATACATTTTGCTACATCATATGCATAGTGGAAATAGAGGTTCAACCGAATATTTCTTAATTAGATAGAGAAAACAGTGCAATTTTATGGCGTAGGAACAATATTCTGAACGATTCAGTTAAACTTACTTAGGTGGCTCTCGAATGAGATGGATTTGAACCAAATACATGAGAGACATTGACCGTACTCACGTCGACCTTCGCATATCTCGCATATCTCGCAAATTGAGCACAGCAACATAACTTGCGAAATTTTGCGAGATATGCGAGATTTCGCAAAAATTTTGCTGGAAAACCATGGGATTTTTTTTCGCAAATTTACCCAGCAATTGGACATGTTCTTATTTCGCAAAAATTTACTTCGCAAACTCATCCTCGCCATCGCCAGCAAGAGAAATTAAAGAAATCCATGGAAATAATATCAAGATAGGTGTTTTTCATTAGATTTGCGAGATTGGAGAGTTTTGCGAAGTCATAGATATATTAACGAATTTGTATAGGTTAAGGACAGAAAACGAGACATTATGACCTATTATGTTTCACATGGCGAATGTCAATAGTAATGGGAGCCATAATGAGTTTCAATTTTGGTAGAATTTTCCTTATTGTTACGTCAAGAAGGTCTGGAACAGATGAAAATTCGGCATTTGGAAAATTTGGCACCGTTTTTGTTATTCTAATGACAAAGAATGGAAGTTATACAAATAATTTATAGTATTTTAATTTATTCTCGTATACATATTTCACGGTCAAATTTTACAGAATGTTGAAAATAAATTCACAGGGGATTGTGTGTGCAAGATTGTAGCGTTACAAAGGAAAAATTTTGACTTTTGAGTTTATGTTGTTACTAACAATGGAGGCGCAAACCATGTTCAGCCCAGATAATTTTTTGACCTTATTAGTTTGAAAGAGCAAGTCTCTAGCAACAACATTTGGTTCACCACTTGCGCAGATGCGCAAAATTCAGCAAGTTATGGGCGCCACAAGTTCGCAAAAAGTGGTCGAGAGTGAGCTCGCGCTGGACCTTGCATCAAAAATCGTGCGTTTTTGCGAACTTGCGGCGCCCATAACGTGCTGAAATTTGCGCATCTGCGCAAGTGGTGAACCAAATGTTGTTGCTAGAGACTTGCTCTTTCAAACTAATAAGGTCAAAAAATTATCTGGGCTGAACATGGTTTGCGCCTCCATTGTAAATAGGTAATTTATAATGATATACTCGGCTGGAGTAGTATTTATGTATGTAGGTGTTACAATCTTTTTGACAGTATTCACACCTCGGCGAGAAGATTATTAACGCAAGACTCGAATATACTCGCCCGCAACACCATTGTCCTGGCAGTACTGAAATATAGATTAATGCATTATACATACATAATTACGTGAAAACACGTTTGAGAACGTCCATAAAGAGTAACAATAATGCAAACCGGAATTTCGAAGGAGACAAAAAGATTTTTTTTGTTAAGATTTGCAGTTTGTAAAGGTTTAAAAAATAACGTTGGATGAAAAATTGAAAGATTTGGATTTATCTAATTTTTTTAAAGTTATTTTTTTGATTTTTTTCCAGAAATACTTGATTGGGGTTGTAGAGAAAAAAATTACGAATCATTTTTTGAAAGTATGGCTTTTCCCATCATCGAGAAATCTGTCCCGTTTTCCAATTTTTGTGACTTTCGGCTCCTGTTCGTCATGAAAGGGGTGGATCTAAACCAAATTATTGGTTCCCTCATGCACCCAGCAAAAATCACCCCTACAAACTTTACAAATCTTAACAAAATCAATTTCTTGTGTCTTTCGAAATTCCGGTTTCTTAAAAATCGTCATTTTTTGATGACGTAGCCTGTAAATAGAACCGGATTATGAATTTTGTTCTAATACTTACATGCACGATGGTGGACCCTGCCAATCCACGGAGTGTGAGGTAATAGCGGCAATATATTTCCACACTTTTGTTAAAAGTGGTGTTAGGAGATGTGTACTCCTTCTCTGTGAATTAAGGAAAAATAAAAATACGAATAATGTTAATGGTGGCAAAAACATATACTTTCAAAATGTAGATAAAAATACAAAGCCGCTCCAAAACATGGCTGAATTTTGAAAATACTTTTTTCAATTCAATTTACCTTTATTCAAGTGTTAGTCACATTCATTCTAAACATCTGTCTATACTAATCAACTACAAACTATATTCCTCAGAAATATATAAATTCATTATCTCTACTCTTCACCAAAAATACCTTGCATAGTTCAACAAACTCATTATACCTAAGGTCTTTTATGGTCCAATCTCTTGGAAGAGAGTTCCATAATTTTATACTGCGACAATTTATATTATTATTAGCAAAAGTCGTGTTACATGAAGACACTGGAAGAAGAGGCCAACTTCGTCCCTGTCTACGAGTCTCATCATGCTTGTACAAATGAACAAAAGCATATTTCAACAAAAATAAATCTCTCCTCTCTTCCAACGTTAATAAATTACATTTCATTCTTAGTTCATTAATATCAATATCAATCTTAAATCGACCTCTTTTCTTGCTATTTCTGGCTTTCTTACATATAAGTGGTAAATAATATTGCAAAATAAAAGTGTCAACCTTTGCTTGAAGTGGTACTAATTGAGAGCGCGTCTGCACCGCCCATATCTCACTACAATAATCAATAATAGCATGTACATTACAATTAACCAGAATTGAAACCACATTTTCCGTTAAATACCTCTTAATGCCATACAAATATTTCAAAGCACCAGACACTCTACTCGTTACACTACTCAAATGGTCTTTAAAGTTAAGTGTAGAATCAATGTTAATACCTAAATATTTAAACGTAAACACTTGTTCGATCTCATTGCCATTTATATTCAGTTTACAATTAACAAATTCTTTGGGAATCTTATCTTGTGGCTTATGAAATATTTGATATTTAGTCTTACTGTAATTTATAATCATGTTGTTCACACTATACCAATTTTCAATAAGTCTAGCTTGCACATTAATAGTTTCAATCATGTCTTTTATATTTGTGCCATATACATATGTATATAACTAGATCATCACAATACAACAGAAATGGTATAGTGATGATCTTACAAATGTCATCCTGGAATGCCGCATAAAGAAGTGGACAAATCGCGGCCCCCTGAGATAAGCCTGTGGGGTTATCATAATATTTCGAATCACCCTTCATTAATATACAACGATTATTCAAATAGTTATTCAATAGCTTAATGTAAACAGGGTGTAATTTAAATTGTACCATCAATTTCTTCAAAAGCAGTGATCTGTCTACACTATTAAATGCAGACCTAGCATCGTAATACACCGCTATAACCTTCCCATTCGGTTTGTCAAGAGAGTTGTACAGATAATCGGTAAATTCAGTTAATGCTGTTTTACATGACATATTTTTTCTAAACCCGTGCTGTTGTTTACATAATTTAGCATCTATTCGTTGTTGTATTCTATTAAACAATAATCTTTCGAATAGTTTACAATATACAGTAAGACAACTAATAGGACGGTAATTATTCGGATCTGTCTTTTTACCTTTAGCTTTATACAATGGGGTAATTATAGCCGATCTAAAGCATTGTGGAGTGAATGACGACTTAAATATAAGGGAAAACAGTAAAGCTAACTGAGCAGCAACAATTACTTGACATGATTTCAAGATTTTCAGTGGTACATACATATCACTTCTCGTGTCTTTTTTCAATTCAAACAGCACTTTCTCTACTTCCTCAGTATTCACTTCACAAATCTGAGCTTCAGTCTGAAAGACTGACTCATCATTGTTGTAATTTCGACAATAATTGGTAATTTCTAAATCTAAATCCTTTGCCGGTATCTTTGAAACCTGACTCACAATAAATTGATCAGCCAATTTTTCATTAATCCTATCTGGACTATCAATAACAACGTTATTCGGAAGAACAAGTTTCGGTATAGTTACACATTGTTTTTTTCTAAATCCTGTTAAATTATTCACATTGTTCCATAAACTAACAGTACATTTGGCACTCTCTATAAATTTAACATTATAATAATATTTCTTAGTTTGCGTAAGTTTAGTATTGTATTGATTTCTGATACATCGAAATTTCTTGAAATCATGATTAGATTTAGTAGTGTGCGCTAGTTTATGAAGTTTATCTCTTTGTTTTCTTAGATTTGATAACTCAGAAGTATACCAGTTATTCATTTTTGGCTTAACATAACGTTTCTTAACTGGGGCATATTTATCCAACTGATTTAGTACATAATTATTAAAATCAAACATTTGTTCAGAGATGGAAACTAATATCAAATCTATATTTTGAAATATCTGTAGAAAGAAGAATTGGGTCAACATTTTGGTAATTCCGATAAGAAATAAGCATTGGTTTCATTTTTTCTCTAGTAACCTTCCTGACTACGAATGTTAGGTCATGGTCAGATCCACCCCACGGGTGGTGACCATTTTGAATAATATTAACTTTTCTGTTGGTATATATATGATCTAACAAACTCTGACCTTTAAAAGTTGGGCCATCAATTATCTGCCAAAGACCAAACTCTTTACATGCCAAAAATAACTGAAAAGACACAGGACATTTCTTAAGTAAGTCAAAATTCAAATCACCAATTATAAAATATTCTAAGCTTTGAGAACAGAGAAAGGCATTGACATTCCTAAAAAAGAGTATTTGTATTTGTAAAAAGAGTATTTGTAAGAGTATTCGAGTATTTGAGCGGAATTTAAGAATAGTTTACCAATATCGGCATATCTTATCCAGCCGGTGCGATTCTGTACGGCGCCTCGGTTCGGGAAGGTCCAGTAAATATATTGCTCGGCAGATTTGGTGGTTAAATTCTTGTTGATGGTCGGGATTTTTATAGAATTGAGCATGTACGTCAAAAATTGGGTCGCATTCCAGGCGATCTCCGGTTTTTTTGAGACTTGCTGAAATTGATAAAATTTACCATAGTTTCTCACTACAAATTTTACAGAAAACCTGGTTTCACTTGTAAATAAACTTGTTGGTTGTAAATATTGGTAACCCAAAAATCGAGAACCAAGTTTATTAAGTGCGATGACAAGTATTGAAGTGGGCAAATAACAAAGTAGTTCTTACGTACGTTGGTGATCGGTTTAGTGAGCTGAATACTTTTCTGGTGAGGTGATTTATAACGAAAATTAAATAAAAAATTAACTTTCCGTACCGGCACAGCTACGTACATACACATGCAGGGTTGTTGTACATATATGTGTATACCGACTTTTATACTCAAAACTATGTATTTGGGACTTTAATTCATCTATGATATAATTTAATTTATGTGTCAAATTTTATAATTATACAGCGTCAAGAAGCTTTAATATACGGCGAAACTGGTCGCAGATGGGGAATAAATCAGATTTTTTATCAACCAGTTTTAAGTGTTTTCTGCGCATCATTATCAAATTCTCACTAGCCGAAGACCAATGGCTATGTAGGTGGTTGTAGGGCACTTCATACCCCACACCTCATACCCCACACCTCATACCCCACATTACATTCCCCAAGTCTCGTTAATGTTAATGCCAATTATCCAATTTTTTCTTAATTTCAAAGAAAATTTTAAAAAAATATATAAATTAAAAATTTGTACAATTGGCAATAAATTTTTAAGCATATTTCGGAATAAGGTTGCTCACATTTACAAAAAATTGATAATAAATGAGGACCACATTTGACGTACTGTATGTACATTATGTTATTAAATAAAGCTTTTATTAATTAATTATGAGAAGTAAAATAGAACAGCTATGTATTTATCCACTGCATTTCTCATTTATCGACGTGAACTGGGGACAGGAACTGTGGAGAATGAAATGTGCTGGGATTGATAAGTGAGGGAATAAAGTTTGCCTAGTATGACGTGAAAATATGAATTGTAGGAGAATGAAGTGTGGGGTGAGAAGTACCCGAACACCATGCGGGTAACGGGTACCTGACCCATTGCTCAGCTCGACCCATAAAACCCCTTAAACCCGGGATACCATTCCCCCAATTAGAATTATTCGTTTGACGCCTCTACTCTACATAAATATTAAAATACATACTTACCTTCCAATCTATCGGATTGAGTGAGCACGCCTCCACACACTGTGCCCCATGGGCGGAACTATTCACGAAATTCTTCACGGATCTCAAACACTTCTCGTAACGTTGTCCTGATTGAAGTTGGACGAGCTGAAATCCAATCAAGTCGTCCACATTCCAAGGCAAACTTTCATTGTGGCAACATTGAAAATGATGATTAAACGCGAGAACAGTCGGAATACGGGGACAGTTCTAGATTTTGTGCGGAATATGTATAGAAATTATTTAGAATTAAATTGTATTATGTAGTTAATTCGATAGATGGTAAGTAGTGTTTATGTAGAAACGACTGATTAGGTTGGCCCTTCGGTAAGGGATCCCCAACTAGCCTATATTTGTATGGTTTCATACAAGAGAACTGGATTAAGTGTTGAACGCTGTTTAAAATACATACGAGAATCCTCTTACTAGGGATACTTTTGAGGTGCCGGTCGAATCCAGGGTTCCCAAATACATATACCAAAATGAGCACAATAAATGACTTATGACGTAAAGTGAAAGAATATACTTGCAAAAATTACTATTGGTCAAGTTTTGACGATATTTGTGACTAACACAGTGGGGGCGCAGAGGAGGGGGTATTAAGGTTAGGTTAGGGAACGAGTGAGAATGAAGAGATGGAGGGTTCATTAACCTACAAAAAGCGTAAATAGTGGCCTAACCTAACCGGCATATTTATTTTGAAAACCCGAGTGCAACACTTCGACCAATTCCCTTGTATTGCACAGTAAAAATGCTGTCTCGGTGGTACAGTCACCTTAATAATTGTACTCACAATTGTTGGGTAGTCCTTCTTCAGTTTCGCGAATAACTCGTTATTAATTTTGGTAGCCTTTGGCGGAGCGCATTTCTGTCAGGAAGATGAAATTTTACTGTTTCTCCAGTAAAATAAAAATTTTGTATGTCTTGAAGTGACACCTTTTCTATGTTGGAATAATAACAGTGGTCCAACACTTGATACTTTTTGTAGAATTCAGTCTCCTTGGTCGCCTCTAATTAAAATAAACCGCTACAGCAAATCTTACCAAGGAATGAAACAATTGTTTCATACGTTACAATGAATATCGCATTGCAAAATTTCGGTTGTAATTTGAATTTCTTGGAGATTATAAAATATCCGCAAGAAAATACTTTCTGGCCAATACAGTGGCTGGCGAATGAAATTGTACGGTACAAAAACTATTCTATCTCGTACATCGACCATGATAAGGACTTGAAAATTTGCAAGGTATCTAGAACCACAGACAGATTGCAGTTGGATGCCGTTCATGTTTTTAAGAATCTAAAGAAGGTCAAAGGTCCCAATTTTTGACCCTAAAGCTCATTTTTCAACTGTTACACTATTTTCTTTTCTTTGGATGCTTTAGTTTTTAATCTATTGATCAACTCAATGTGAGTATTTGAGGTCTTTTTCAGTTCTCTACGATTTCTTTGAAGCTAGTTATGAATTTTTGAAAAGAAACTAATTTTGGAAAGTTTAACATTGCGCTTATGGGACAAATTCGCAAAATTCGCAATTTTTAAAAAGTCATCTGTCTTCAAAAAAATCGTAGAGAACTGAACAAGATGTCAAATACTCACATTGAGTTGATCAATAGGTTAAAAACTAAAACATCCAAGGAAACAATCACTGTAAGAGTTGAAAAATGAGCTTTTGGGTCAAAAATTGTGACCTTTGACCTTTTATAGATTTTTCAATAACATGAACGACATCCAACTGAAATCTTTCTGGGGTACTACCTTCCAAATTTTCAAGCCCTTTTCGTGTTGATGTACGAGATAGAACAGTTTTTGTACCGTACAATTTAATTCGCTCGCCACTGTATGTATAATTTGAAAGGCGTCTAATGTTACCTGGACAGAGGGACGAGTTTCTGTCGAGAATGGCTGCCCTAATATTTTTATCCGTCGTGTAGTTGACCCTCCGCTCCTTCCATGTGACAAAGTCGGCGTAACTGATTTCCTTCGTGTCGTTCTGGAATTAAATAAATTCCGATTAAATGTTTAATTCGAATATTTACAGTACTATTATAATATTCTTATTTACATTCTGCTTCTGTGTGAAGTTCCGTTTATGTGGGGGGGGGGTTCACTGCATTGATGGTGGTGGTGAGGCAGGTGAGACGATCGTCGTCGTTGTTGTACATGGAAATAAATTGCGTCTTGGAGGCAAGGTGAGATTTGGTGAGACAAAGTCAGGACAGGTTTTATTGCACGTATCAAGATACAGGCAGTCGACTCGCTGTCGATGGTCACTCTTGTTCTTACTTATATACCATACGTATACCTATTTAGTCTACTTATATGTCTAACCGGTTATTGGGTGGTAAGAGTTGTAAGAATTATAAGAGTTGCCTTTTTGACATAGTGATCATTGATCACTAACACAACTACGAAAAGGAGATAGTGAGAGTTGCAGATCTAAAGAACCAGTTTTTCAATAAGGATTTGGCAAAGATCACCTCTTCACAGCTCTCATGTTATGAAGAGTCGGCCCGACTTATGAAGCGAAAAAATCCAAGATTTGCGTCAGTGTACCTACTTCAAGGGTGTGCATCACATTGTTTGTGTTAATTTGGAAACTTCTCAATCCCAGGTAAGGAGAATGTCAAAATTCTATGTCGGTTAAAAATTGATAGAGAAATTATTAAAATTTTCCTAGGTAGACTAAAATAGACTTAAAGTAACAGAGCGAATTAACCAATAAGTAAGATTATTAAGGCTACGTAAATGGCAATTTATTGAAAATGAAATCTGTTAACGCGAAAAAATTGTTTCTTGGGGTTTGATATCTTGAAGATTAACTGGATTTTGTTGATGCAGGGTCCTCATTGCCCGCTGTGTCTCTGTGGGCATCATTTTTGCTCACGGGACAGGTGGAGAAAACACCTTCAATCATGTCAAGGAGGTCGCCGCAGTAAGAGAGGGCGTTGTCACATGATGGGTTGTATTCAGCATCCAAGTGGAAGTCTAAAATAGTTTGAATTTCGAAGTTTCGAGTCTCTTTCGTCTTTTTTTAAATTTTGGGGAGGGAACTATGTTTTTGTTGAAAACCAAATTGGCGAAAATAAATGATCGATTGATTATTACGAAAATAATTCCGATGTTTGTAATTATTATTTGTGTGAAATGACATCGCATAAAGGGTAGACCAACATGTAGCAAAGATTGATTGTGTCTGCTGCAGGTGTCGAAAGCGCCTTGGTGGGTGAGGACTGAAGGGTGGGAGATAATTTCTGGGTGTCTATTGCAAAATTCGTCGAACCACGCAATGTCAACGGTTGAAGTGGCGTGACAAAACTTGTTGGAGCGTGGGGGTTTCACTGTTGTGGCGAATACATAAAAAATTTGTTTGAGGTGAAGATGGGTGAGGTGGAGAAGTGGGGTGAGGAGGTGGGTTGGATCTATGTAAGAGAAAAAGAATCCGTTGTCGTTGGTTGTTAAAGAAAGTGTGATTGGCATATGTCGGCGTGGCGGCGTATGGCAACGGATGGCACGAAGAAATTATAAGTGTTTTTATTGTTGAGGCGGATCGGCTGGATGAGATTGCATTGATGGAGAGCCTGGGGTTGAATTTTGGGGTGGGGCTGGCCTACTGGTAGCCGGCACAGGACGTGAGGGAGTGGATGGAAGTGGTGGGGAAGGGTATGTTCGGGTAGAGTGGGGGGATTGGAGGAGTTTCCTCACGTTAGATGGGTGGTGCGGCGTGATCTTGATACGTGGTATGCCGCGGTTTTAAGACGCGGGAGATAGCGGGGGGAGTGAGAACAAGAACAAAGTTGGTACGTGTATGACAGGAGGCCCCTTTTGGGAGGGCGTGGAGGAAGTAAACGTAGGTTACCTGGCACCGTTATGAGTTTTGAAGGGGGGACAATGGTGAGTTTTTCAGTGTGTCGTGTGTCAGAATCCATAAGCGCCATAATAGGTGAGGATATTGGGGTTGCGGAATACTTCCGGGTGTCTGGCTGTAAATTCGTTGTACCATTTTTCATCCACAGCTGTAGAGTTGGTGAAATTAAATGGGCGTGGAGGTGAAATGCTGGACGTAAATTTTCCACACATTTGGAGGAGGTGGTTGCGGGTGAAGAAAAAGTTCGCATCAAAAAGTCGGAGAAGTTCGGAGGCCAATTGCATTTCTTCGAGATAGGTCAGCAGGAGGATTGAGCTGTTGTACGCCCGAAATTGGGTGGACGAGAAGGTGGCCTTAGGCGACTTGGGAACTTGTTGGTCCATGGCACGGGAGTATGAAATCCTCCCTTTAGAGAAGTTGTGTGGTCTTGTTGAACTGCACGTCGTTCACTGTCACAAGGTGGAAGATACAAGACGGAGGAGCCAGTGTCTGGGGCGATACTGCAGGTTGCGAGGAGAAGAGAGTCGTCTGGGAGAAGAATATGGGTTGGTGGGTGATGGGTGTTATGGCCTGAGGAAGGGTCGAGTTGGATGGTCTGCAGGATGAGTATGCACAATTGAGGCAGGAGGGAGACTGGTTTTGAGGGGAGAGAATCCGGTGAGAATGAGGGCGTCCCTGAGAGGAAGGTCGTTCTTCCTGGTGGGAGATATGAGATTGGCCGAGCCGTCCTGTCGATGCGGAGAACAGGTTTGGTGAGGTTCAGGTGTGCGATAAAAGGTAGAAGGTGGGTTGGAACTAGATTGTGGTCGGTGGGTCGGATCGTTGTAAGTGAGACGGCTAATTGTTTGAACAGCATGGGAGATGAGCCCTGAAGCGAGGAGAGTAATATTGTGGTCCAGTTGGTCCAAAAGGTATATGGATTGAGAATAACATCGGGGGAGAGTAAAGTGTTGAGTCAACCGGTGAAGTGAGATTGGACAAAGTGTTGTAGCAATTGAGTATATAGAGGTAGAGTAGAAGATACCGTTATACTAAACGTATTGCTGACTCGCGTACGTGGTTCGTGAACAGACGGGGAGGTACGTAGTAGCGTTTAAGAAAGAAAACTAATGTAATTGAGTTGACAATTCGCTACTGGTTGAATGACAGATCGAAGGTTGCCTAATACTGGAAAAAATGTGCAGACGAAGGTGACCAGGAGGAGCTTACTAGAGTTAAATCTTAAGGTAGGGGAGTGAGGGTACTCATTAGGAGATGCCCATCGAGGTCTATACGCAACGTAAATGCACAGGAGAAGGAACTCTCCTGTGGATTTATGATTATCGCATCGTGAGTTCTCTTATATATTTAATGCGGCGAATGGTTGTGGGGACCATAGAGCGACCGCTGTTTAATATGGTAGGCTATCCGGTTTTCGCTTCTAAGTAAGAGTTATGTGGTACAAAAGAATGTGGGATGTCTACGTAATCCTAGATATCGAAAATCACCTATGGAAAAGGGCAAAAAAATACACAGGAGAAAGAATTCTCTTGTGGATTTTTTTTTTTTTTAATCCTATGGGTGGGTTTTATAATACGTATATATCTATCTGGGTGACCGGTAAGTATTACTATTTATTACTATTGTATTACGGGGATAGTCAAGGGGACCATCCGGGGTTCGCCGTGATACGTATAGAATTAACACAACTATCTGGGTGACCGGTAATTATTACTATTTATTACTATTGTATTACGGGGATAGTCAAGGGGACCATCCTGGGTTCGCCGTGATACGTATATAAGTAATACAGCTAGTGTAATATGGGGATCTAATTGAGAACGTTGCCGAGGGGCAGAGGTTGGTCAAACTCTGCCTGGTTTAAAAGTATGTAGGATAGAGAAATTCGTGTGTCGTGAGGCGACGCAATCGGGGCATGAAGGAAAAGGAATGTTGCCACCGGCGGTGTGGGGGGCGAGGCGTTGGCTGGGTGAAGAAGGTAGAGGGTTAGAATTGGAAAGTGGTCGGGAGAGGTTGGTAGGTAGATTAGGTCGAGTTAATAGATCTGGTCGCCAGGTATTTGGTGTATGTGAGGAGGAGCGATTTGGATTGTAGTTAGTGTGTATAGGCAGTGAGTTATAACTTGATTGGCGGAGGTATGCGTTAGGGGGAGAATACAACGAGTGATTTTCACTTCGAGGTCGGTTAGTATTGGGGTTGTAGCGTCGCCGAGAATGAACTCTCCCACCTCCACCAAAATTACGGCCGTCACCATCCTGTATATGATGTGTGCCTCGGAATTCTGTATTCCTGGATTGCCAGTGATTCGAAGGTGCTGTGATGTGGGATTGGCTATGTACATTCTGGCGGGTAGAGAAACCGCCACCACGGTTGATGGAATACGAAGATCTACCCCTATGGTTACCGTTACCCTGTGAGGT